GATAAAAGCCTTGAATGTTTTTTACGGTCGGATTTGTCACCCAATCCTCGAGTTTCAGCTGGCAATCCTGATCCTATTCGGCAGGACCATCAGCGTGGTCGCTATCGCTAGGGGTTAGGATGCGGGCTGGCTCTTCTGGGTCTGGGAAGGAAGGAGATTCCTGGACATTTTTAAAAGTTCGGAGCTTTGAACGGAGGTTCTCGGACTCCAAGGTTTCCTTGCATTCGGTGTACGCCATCCATTCAGCTAGAAAAGGGGACAACCTCATCCATGTAAGAAAAGGGGACAACCTCATCCATGTAAATCCCAAGTTATCCTAGCCCCCCCCCTCTCCCTACCAACTGCAAGAATACGAAATGAATGAGGGTGGAACCTTCTGAGCCCATATCCACCGTGTGGCGACCGAAACTCAGAAGTGGCAATCCTGCGACTGTTCCAATGCCCCTCAGAGTTTGTGCTTGGGTCAGCTCTATAGCCTGTAACTCCGATGGCTGGGCTTTCACCGTTATGGAAGGGATGGATTGAGAACCATCCTTGTTGCAACTCAAGAGAACTCCCACTTCAAAGTGAAAGGTGGCACATATCAGCGGCACAAGGATTTGGGTCGTTTTCTTGTTTGTGGACGACAGTGTTCTGGTTGGCCTCACAAAACTCAAAGCAAGTTTGGCTGATTTCTGCGAGATAGGCCTTTTCCTTCTTTTCGGGGAGGAAACTGCATCTTCCCCCTCAGACGGACGGACCACCAATTGGGGAATGGCTGGCGCATCATTTGCTTTCAGCTTTTTGAAAGGAAGGCGTGATGACTCAAGGTGGACAGAAGAGCTTGGCTTTGGAGGATCTGATGATTTCCTTGGACTTGTTTTGTTCCCTCGTTTTTTCTTTTTAGACATCTTGGATCCCGTAATTGTGGTCGCTTTGAATTTCAAGTTGGAAGGTGCCGCAGCTTCCGTGAGGGCTGGTTCCACTTCAGTCGTCTTTGGAATCTCTTCTAGCAGTCCGTCTTCCTTTTCCTTCCGCTGCTCAGGAGAAAGAAGCAGGGGGTCTGCTCTGTTGGCTGGGACGAATCCCATGTGAGCTTCGTTTATCTTAATTTTTAAATTTTCAGACACTTCTGTCAGGATAGGAGGTGGGGGTGGGCTGGGGGGGAAGAGGGGGACTGAAGTCGGGGAGGGGGAGGAGGAGATATCTATCTCTTGAGAGCCTTGACTATCTGAGACAGACTCGTCTGTCTTCTTCTCTTCTATTCCCCCACCTTTCCCCATCTGACCCTTTTCCCCTTCATCGTTCCCTTCCACCCCTGCCCATTCTTTGGTTTTCATGGAGTCGTTTGAGGATGAAGGAACCTCCTTATCATTAGAGGTTCTACCCGGAGCTTTTGCTCTCCAAGAAAGAGACCCCTTCTTTTCCCCCTTGCTTCTCGCTACCTTTAATTTTATCCCATGAGTCAAGCCGATATGTTTCTGTCTGAGCTTGTTACCTGTTTTTCTGGTCTTGCGTGGATCGTCGAGTTTGGCTTCGTCCCCTGACTACTCCTCGAGGTCGCCACTTGGCAAGTTGACCTTTTGGACCTTTTCACTGTGGTTATCCTTTTCTGGGGAGGGGGGGCTTCTTTCCCGGACGTTCTCCGTCCTTTCAACCAGAGTAATGATGGCTCTTGTCGTGTTCCTTGTTTGATTTCTCTGCTTTTTTTCCCTTTATGACCACCTCATTGAAGGATTGTGTACGAGAAGCAGTCTTGACATTGATTGGACAACCCTCATTTTCCTCTGAGTGGAAGTATCTACAGCACTTTCTGCACCAAGCAGAGTCCGTATATGCGATGTTGAGATCTACCCACCCGTCAACTTTCAGATCGATGAGGTGTTGTTTGTACCATAATCGTGCGGAGGCTTCCATGTCAAATCTGATATTTCGCAGATCCGGCGAGATTGGGTCTGCAAAAGGTTTTTTGGATTTCCCAAAAGCCTTTTGAATTGCCCCTTTCAAGTGGGGCAGAATGGACACTGGCACTTGAATGTCATCCGTCCCTTTTCTGATCATCCACGTGGCTATCTTACTGGAGCTGCCATCGCAGCGGAAGACCCCTATTTTCGGAGCGGTGTTCAGTTCTACAGACATAGATACGAATCAAACGGTTCTTGACTGAGGCAGTGAGAGAGATGGCATCGTTCTCGAACTGGACCGAGACCGCATGCTCGGCCAACCATTCTGCCTACATGTCGTAGAATTCGTTGTTGACAACCACTCGGACAAAGTCCTGACCGGTATCAGCGAGGCTCGGCGCAAATTCCTCAGGCAAAATGCCCTTTGCGTAGCAGTCTTCTATGACCCCGAATCTGGACCAAGGGGAGGGGAAGACTCCATTATGGCAGGCTTTTTCCGCACGTGCGAATAGGGACACTGTATCGGCCGGGTAGGTCCGGACGAAGGCCGCCATATCTGAGAGGAGTTAAATGGAGTTAAATGGTGGATCGCTTCTTCCTCTAGCAGTAAATGAATGAGTCTGCCAAAGCGCGGTCACGTTTGGACAAAATGCGATGATATGGGTCTCGGAGGTGTCCCTAGCTGGGAGAACGGTCTCTCTACTTCAGATTTCTCGATAGAGAAAATTTTGGCCCCTTTCTCCAATCTCGACACGTTCTGTCCTGTTCTAGCAAACGGAAGGACAAGTACTTTACTGTCGGTGTCTGCTTCTCCACCATGAGGACGCAGTAGCATTCGTGGGAAAACCGAGAAACAGAGGGTAAGAACTTCCAGGAGGGACCAAGCTTCTACTCAAAAGAAGAAACCTTAATTACTCCGATGAACTCCTGGAGAATTAATCCCTGGTCCTACAGCACCCACCGAACGCCCTGGGGTCCCAACATAGAGTGATTCCTTCTTCCGGGCAAGGGTAGGACAGACGGTCGTAAAAGGAAGGGCATGTTTACCTCGGTTACATCTTGTGGTTGTCAATGCTGGCGTCACAAAAAAAATATTCGTCTTCCCTTGGAAGTCCTGCTTATCTTGAAGATGAAGATGAAGGTAAATAACATCCTTCTCCTGAGATATCTTACGATTCTTGTACCTCTCCCTTCCTATGCCTAGGCTAGACCAGAGAAGAGTTACGGTCTCCCTGCCTAGGGTGAGGTCTCCTCCCTTGCCCTCACGGGAGTAGTACTCCGACCTCCACTGGAAGAAGGAAATGTCGTGGGGATGGAGGAACCCTAATCCACCGTGGGGAGAATTCGACTGAGCGCGGAGATTGCCGCAGGAAATAGCGCAGAATTAGCACTGGGATTAGCGCTACCAGCCCTTCCCCGCCGCCGGCCCTCCCCAAGAACCTGCCTCCGGGCAAATCATTTTGGAAAGTCAGAAAGCACTTTTTTTTTCCAGGACAGCATCGCAGACGACCAAATGCACTTGGAAAACCCTTTGGAAATCAGTTGAGCCAATCGTTGCCTGTTTCCGTTGGCACTCGTTTGTTTTGTTCTTTTTTTTTGTTGGCACTCTTCATCGCTACTGGCTGCTGCATCCCGTGAGACTTTTCCAGGAACGACATGCCCTCCCCCCTACCCTCTAGAGTCTGCACAAAATTTCGGCAAGGAATACTCCTGTGAGACTTTTCCAGGCCACAGACTACATGAAAACACAAATTGATGTTTTTCCAAGCCACAATCTTCGGTCTGTGGGGTCCTGGAAACGGTTTTGCGGAAGAAATTCCACTTTGTCCAGTATATTTGCAGCAGGCTGTGGGGTCCTGGAAACAGTTTTGCAGCAAAGTTTTTCCTTTCCGCGGTCCTGTGGGGTCCAACCCTACGTTGAAAATAAACACCAAGTCTGTGGAGCACCTCTCTTAGGGCCTCGTTCCACACTACTGGAAATTCAAGGATTTCTTGCCACACCACTCGAAACTCTAAGGATTTGTTGCCCAACACCGTTCCACAGTGCCCTTTAGTTTCGCTAGGCCGTGATTTGGTTTTCGGGTTTAGCGAACAGGCGGGGAAAGCTCAAGTGCGGCCCAGGCAAACCTAGGTGTGTGTAGAACCCCCCATAGTTTTTTTTTGTTTGTTCTCGTTTTTCGATGGCGTTTGTCCTGGTTTAGCCTCACACAAGCTGTTGGAGCACCATTCCCGGTTGACTGCACACCCGAGTTTCAAGTGAAGTGGTATGGGAACGAGACGGTCCGACTTTGGGGAGTTCCTGGGGTTGTGACCAGTTTTCCACCTCTGACGCATCGGGAGCGAGGCAGTCCGACTTTGGGGAGTTCCTGGGGCTGTGACCAGTTTTCCACCTCTGACGGCTCTCGTAAGACTCGAAATTTTCGAGAGAGCGGCACGAGAAACTATCACTGGCTCTCGTACTTGCCGGCACGAGAAACTATCACTGCTTTTACAGACAAAAGGGATGGCTCTCGTACTTGCCCTGCACACTACGTTGCCTATTAGTTTGCCGACCAGAACCGATTATGATTAACCAGCGAAAACCTGCAACAAATGGTTCACCCATTTCCAGAAGCTTTGGACGATTGTCTCAATACTGTAAACGGATGAAAGACAGGGCCTCGAACTTACTAGCCCTCCCATGCGCTCCCTCTCAGTTACCAGATCAGATCCAGCTATGACTAGTCAAATTTGCGGCATAGCAGGATGCTTCCCCGGAAGGACTTCCGGTTGCTGGTGCTGTCTTGACGGTTGCCTGAAGCAGTGCCAACATTTGCAAAACCACGCAAAGCAGCCATTCAATACCTCACCACCATCAGTTATGGAGAAAATCAATGATCTGCACGCCACAGAGGTAAGGGCTGCGACCACGGGCACTATTCCCATTCAGTACCTCACCAGCATCACTTATGGAGAAAACCAATGATCTGCACGCCACACAGGTAAGGGCTGCGACCTCGGGCACTATTCCTCATACCAAGCCTTTTTTGGTCTTTTCCGATGTCCGATCCTTCAATACGCCTCCCGCAGCGAGATGTAGTGGAAGAAAGGTAGACACGCTACATAGGTAAGGGCTGCGAGCACGGGCACTAATACCATTCAGTACCTCACCAGCATCAGTTATGGAAAGTCATTGATCTGCACGCCACATAGGTAAGGGCTGCGACCACGGGCACTATCCCCATTCAGTACCTCACCTGCATCAGTTATGGAGAAAATCAATGATCTGCACGCCACATAGGTAAGGGCTGCGACCACGGACACTATTCCTCATACCAAGCTTGTTTCCGTCTTTTCCGACGTCCGATGACTTCAGTACGGCTCCCGCAGAGAGATGTAGCGGAAGAACGGTACACACGCACGAACTGGTCCACCACTACAGCGGAGCTTGAAAAAAACAGGATAGCAGGAGGAAGTGAACGCGCTACACCCTTGTCATCATTACCATCTGTCTTATCTTCAAGTTCTCCTAGTATCCCATTGTGCAACTTCCGTGGCCAGAAACCAAAAAAGCGGGCGGCACGCCTGCCCGATAAGAAAACGGCCTTGTCGACAAACTCGTACAAGCACGGCCAAAGACGCAAGTGGGCAGACAGAAGTGGACGGAAGGGTCGCCACGAGCATCTATTGCCGTATTCCATGATTGGTCACCACCATCGCTATCGTAGACTCTCTCATATTACGACACGGCTCAGAGCAAGGTTACAGCATGTCTCAAAGAGCGATAACGTGCAGTACCATAGGCGAAGACAGCCGATCAGCTTCCAACCCTAACCGTATGCTCGCGGGGTGAAAATACGTCGCCACAAAGTGAGAACAACGCACTTCAGTTGCGACGTGGGCAGAGCGGCACTGAGGGCCGCTGGAGAAGCCGATATCATAGTCGATCGTCTTTGTCATCACCGCCTTCCTTCGTTCGAGAGGCCGTGAGGGGTGCCAGTTACAAACACAACAGAACCTGTGGGAAAAACTAAAGCGCGCCAAAACCCACAATTGCAGGTGTGATGACACCTGCCCATATCCTACGGAAGGGCCGCTGGAGTAGTCAGATTTTGAGTAATCGGAACACGATTGCGACGCCGGCCCCATTACTGTCTTGCATGCGCGAGAGAATGCGGCCCTTGGCGAAACCGTAAACAACAACCTGATATATGACACGTGTACCAGAGTTAACGAAAGGAACTCACTGACATGTCAATCGTCATTTTAATCATCTATGGGCGGAGAAAGATGGGTTAACAAGCAAGAAATTAACACAACAGCATAGAAACCTTCTCGTTCCATTTCCCACGACGCACATCCATGAGGCAGATATGCCGTTGCACATCCCATGTGGGCTGCTCGAGGAGCTACGGCCTGCCAAAGATTCAGTACGTGTCAGAATGGCCTTAATTTCCATTGCTATCACCAGCGTAATGGAGACGACGATGGTGCGGAGCGACAGAAGAAAAGTATATTATGAGCCACGCTTAACCATAGATATCGTTGTTGTAATTGACCTCTCTCTCTCTCTCTCTCTCTCTGCGTTTCGTGTGTTTGCGCACCCGTGCTTCTCCGAGTCCTACGCACGGACGACGATGGTGCGGAGCGACAGAAGAAGAGTATGTTATGAGCCACGCTTAACCATAGATATCATTGTTGTAATTGACCTCTCTCTCTCTCTCTCTCTCTCTCTCTCTCTCTCTCTCTGCGTTTCGTGTGTTTGCGCACCCGTGCTTCTCCGAGTCCTACGCACGTTCCTATGCACAGGAATGCGTACATGTGACGATGGGAAGTCACAATGACTCACAAACGCTTCCATTCGGGGCAGCCTTACTCTAAACGCTCCACTGGTGACGTTGTCGAGTAGATTATACAAGAATGACAATTGACAGTACTCCAGCATTTCTCTTTCAAGGGGCCGCGTTGTCAAAGAGTTCTAAACCCGTGCCTCGAGTAATAATGCACAAATTTTAAACGGCCAAGCCACCCAATTCATATTCCTTTGACCGCTGTTTTCGCTACGAAGTTGATTAGCCAAAAATGTGCAAGACGTGACACGGAAAGGAAAAAAAACGCATACTCCACCACACATCCCGAAATAAACCAATCTATGACATTGGCGAAAAGGAGAATCGCAATACTCATTTTCCAATCGATTATTCGACGACCTCCACTCTGATACTCACCATACCCTTAAACAGAATGAAGGTGAAATTAAACGGAAGTGTATGATATATTACCACAACCCCATATCCAAACAGAATCATCCTCAAATCCGCGGTTAACGATTTATCTCTCGACAGGACGGCGGAACCAGACACGGGCGAATAGAGAATATCAAGACAGCCGAAAAAACACCGTGTTTGCAAATCCGCAGACATGCCGAAGAAAGGACAAGACGGAAGAACATAAAAGCATGCAAACTCCGCAAGCGAGAGTGAGTTGTCAAACCGAGAGAAAAAGAGTAGCAGCTGCACAACGTTCAGGATGGAGCTCAACAGTATTGCGGAAACTGGTGAGGACGACGAGCGTCTAGCGGAAGCGAAGATTACAAGTCGCACAAGATACAATATACGTTGGCAAAATGAAGAAAAGAGAATTCTACATAAAAAAAACTCCCGCCCATCGACCCTGTCCCATCGGAATCCAACTTCGAAATACCTCTCATGCCCATCGGAATGCACTGCACAGAGAACTCGTCCGCGTACAGATAAACCTAAAACCATCGGTCCTGTCCAGAACTATATCGATAGTAACAGATATACGAGGAGCTTTGCCCTCCCCAAGTCAGACACAGGGCAGAGAAGACACGACGAAACGGTTGGCAGTGTGAACGTCTGAAGCAGCACCGCCATCGCTCCCACGGAATTGCTGATGACATCGCACAAGAAAGGAATGAATGCGCAGAATACAGGGGATTCGCACTTAGTGAAGGAATAGAACTGCCCGAAGGCAGGAGGAGAAGCTCAGAACGGCAGAAGACCATAAATGGTGCTCAGAAAGGAAGGGCTGACGGAGAGGGAAGACGGTAGTGGGAAGAGAAAAGAGTAAGGACGGGAAGCCAACTTCCAATACTCCATAGTTTTCCAAAATGCAGGGATGCAGCCCGGGCAGCTCGGATTTGAGTACTCTACACCCCTGTCGTTGGGCTTCCTTCCAATTAAGACAGCGACCTCAAGCAATCCCTCCCGTCCGGTTGATACCACATGCACACTGATCGCCAAAAACAGGACGCTCACTGATCGCTCATGACGACTCTGAATCCCACGTGCCCGTCGACGGGAAATATCCTTACTCCCACTTTCCAGAACCCTTGGCCCTTCTCCATCGTCACCTCATCATTTCCACGTTTCTTGAGTACTACCGCAACAAAGCTACGTTGTTCTCGGTGTCATCACTTCCCCCCTTCCCCCCCCAATCCGAAGGACCAAACAGTGCCTCTTTCATCTCGTTCACAAACCCTCGCGCCGTTCGTGGCTCACCATACCTTAAGCTTCATGACTTCTCTGCTACTCGTCTTCCTTGAACAGACCATCCCTCTAAGCTCCTTGTCGCTTAGCAGCTGCAGTTCCTGGGTTGAGAAAGTCCCCCTATTCATCCTGGCATTCCTCCGTTGAGCGGGGGCGTATGCGTGAACTCTGCAACACTATCCGCGTGCTCATAGGGGGTTGGCTGTGCACCCAGCTCCATCCATTTCAGAGACGAATTACCTCCCCTCTCCCCGTTAACGTATTTCCCGTAGCCAGGGATGCGAATTCTCCTCCGGTGGGGCAACGGGCCATAATATGCTAATGAACTTGCGCAAATTGTGACGAATACCACGGCCTCGCGAACGACACTCCGCGACTCCGTACGATTTTCACGAGAGCATGATAACCTTTAAAATCTACACATTCTTATTCTCTCCCACATGCGTTCTCAACGTATTTTCCACAACCAGAGACGCAAATTCTACGCCAGTGGGGCAGCGGGCCGTAATATGCCAATAAACCTTGCGCTAATACCGATTACCACGGCCTCGCGAACGACACTCCTCGGCTCTGCATGATCTTCCTGAGTGCATGAGAACCTCCAAATTTCTCATCCCTCTTTGCACCGTGAACGTTCTCAAGAAACCACGACTGGCCAGCACGGCAGACCACAGCACGCCTGCTACATAAGATTGCCGCTGGCAAAACGCAGCGCTCCATGATCTCAATTCGGTCCCAGTCGGGACAGGAGTTCTTTTTCAACCGCCTTCAGCACCTACAGTTTTTCCTCTTCCACTTAAGAGTGCTTCTCCGCAGCATATATATTCACCAGGGACACACTCCTGGCGCCTCAGTCACCAACGACCTACATATCCACATATCCCCAAGAGTACCGCTGCTTTCAGCCACAGCCGAGTATCACACAAAAGTGAACGGGGGAAGGTAAACAACGAAATTACGGATCAACGAGCTGTAAAAGATCGAAGAAAGGCAAAACGGTAAGCGGACAGTGGAAGTGGGAAAGAAGAGCATGCATCTCGATGACCACGCAGATAAACGCCGCTGGCAGTGGAGAAGGACGGACGATAACAGGATTCTATAGAAAGGCGAGAAGAATAATAGGAGGGCCTGCTGAGAGAACCGGTAGGACAGGACTTTACGGAACGGACATTCTCTTCATATCTCTTCATATGTCTTCATATTCACTAAACAAAGAAAAAGCCGTAAGTTCGGAAATCTACTACAATCGTGGATATAGAGAGATGTGGTGACGTGGGAGATCTGAGGATAGGGGATCGGAATGGTAGTCAGCAACACAATGAGCGACAGCTTCCTTTGCTCCAAGAGGACATTGTCAGCTTGCCATGGCTAATCCGACTTCCTGTTCCCCCAATTATTTCATGAAGAGACCGATCAGGAATGCCACAATAGCAACAAGAAGCAGCGTGAAGAAGGAAAAACCCGCGCGTCCTGTTGGCGACGCACTGCAATTCGTTCCTGCCCTGTTCTTGAGCTTAACGAGTTCCTCCTCCACTCTTTGTTTCTGACTACGCGCATCATTTCTCTCCTCTGTGAGGGACAACAATGTCGTCTTCATCTCCTGCAACTTGGCCTGAAGATACGCAGAGTCTTTCACGCTGCCATGGTAATCGTTCCCGATACTCGTCAGCGATGACCGATCCACACCATCTTTAACCGGTGTCTTGGGCGAGAGTCCCTCCTCCGCCGACTCGGCGACAGGAGATGGAGGTTGGGGTGGCTGCACATACATCACGCGCAACTTCGCCTCACGAACGTCGCGTCCCGGTTCTCTCTGGAACAGCTCAGGGGAAAGCTTTTCATGACTCATCAGCTCTTCAACAATGACGCTCTGAATGAGAAACTTGTCTTTACAAATCATGTCGGGCGGTGCCTCCTTCTGAGACTGCATCGTCACTGTCACTTCTATACTTCCATTGGGTTGGACAACTCCAGTGTTCGGTCGGACGCAATACTTCTTTGGAGAAGTAGTTTTCACCTTGAATGCCACATACTCCGAAGTTTGGTTATACAGACGCAACGACGACGATATTTGCTTAGACAGTTCGAATTGAAACTTCAATTCCGACGGGGATATAGTCAATAATTCCTGCATAGCTGGAACTATTCTCGCACCCTCTGCTTTCTCTCCGCTCCTCTCGATTCCCTTCCCGCCCTTCTCGACCCTTCTCCACAACAGTACCTAACCCCTCGAATCGTCTTTTCTCCACCCTTTCTTCCTCCCCTAGGACGAGGTTCCCAATACTCCCAACAACTCACTCAGAGACTGTCAACACGGGGAAACAGACATGAACCACGTAAGATCCACTGAATAATTACCCACCCTGACTCCGCACCTATATCTCCTCAGGGAGCTCGTCTTCCTGATCGGCCTTGCACGTGGCGGTCCGTGCGTAGACCGACTCGCCTCGCATACGGCCGCCCACCCTCGAGAACCGATTACTACACAGCACGCCAAGGAGGACAAGAGGAGAGCCACACGTGCGCATGCATCAGATCTATCGCCTTTACCCTAGTCCTCGACAGGAAGGTCAGCCTTCCTTTAACCGCCGCGGCTCTCTCTCTCTCTCTCTCTCTCTCTCTCTCTCTCTCTCTCTCTCCTTTACCCTAGTCCTCCACAGGAAGGTCAGCCTTCCTTTAACACCGCCCCGGCTCTCTCTCTCTCTCTCTCTCTCTCTCTCTCTCTCTCTCTCTCTCTCTCTCTCTCTCTCTTTTGCGCGCGCGCGAGCGCGAGCGTGTCAAGGTCTGTTTGTATTTCGTGCGTGAGAGGCCGCGTAAACGTCCCCGTCCCCTTGCTGTCAAACAAGTGCACATCCAAAACCTGCCTTCTCAGGAGCAGTCCTGGATAGGCGAAGGGTGTAGGCTCAGGAATTCAGAATCAGCGTAAGGACAGCCGTCCGTGCCGCTGCACCCACACGCAAGACGTTACGAGTTCAAAGGACAGTGCAACCGAACATTTTGCACGTACGGTCTTGCACGCGATTATCCCGTGGGCACTGGAAACGGAAGACAAGCAGTGCGTGAAAACATGGACGTGGCAGCCAGAGGAAAGAAGCACTTCCGGCAGTCGAGCTCAACAGGACAAGAAACATAACCAGACTGCCCCTCCCAACAACAGTTTTGATGACCCTCTGCGAATGAACGCGTGGAGGAAATGAAGCTTCGATTAGGGGCGACAACGGGTATTAATTCCCAATACTAAGATTGAATGTCTAGGTAAAGAAACCGTGAGTCGATACACTCAGGACCACTGGGAACCAACGGACACTCGCACGACACCACATCTGCGGAACGATGTTCACGCGCTCAAGCCTCGGAGCTACCATCCCACTCAACCTTCACCCAGCCGGACCTAATCCAACAGCCAAACGGAACGAGGAAGCGGAACGTCACCGCCTTCACACCAACTACTTCACCCGTATTCACCGTGGCACGACGGTGACGCGCTCATACCTCGCCGTTACCGACCATTCAACCTTCCCCCAGCAACACCAAACCTAACACCCAAGCTGAACTTGCAAGCAGAATTGGACCGTTTTCACCGCCATGTCATCATCGTATTTCTGGCTCAGCCGATTTCGAGCCGGCTGGCATGTACAGCGGTTGATGGGGAGGTCCCAACGAATGGCGCTCACTAAAAATCAGAGAAATGAGAAGCGATAGGAACGACATTCACCAGCAAATGGGCGGCCGGGAAGCCGCACCTCTCAGGTGCCACTAGCTGCTTGCTGAACAAAGGTACGCAAACACCAAAAGCAATGGCGCAAGCGATGGTGATGCGACAGCGCGCTTTCCAGGAGTCTCGCCGCTTGAGCTTCCACCTCTGCGTCATCCTCTACGCCACGCCTCCTCACCGTGGCTTTGTCACGATACTACTCTCCCCTCTCCTACTCTCCAGAGAATCTCCAACATCCCGCGCGAAAAGAGTGTAATGAAGCGACACCGCGACTATCCAAATTTGGAGTGGAACGGACCACCAAAGGCCCTCGGATGTCCGCGTGTGGCTCGTGGTTCAGTACTACTGGAACAAGGTGGGTTGGCGAGTCCGCCTCACCGTTCGATGGCGATCACGGACGATTCCCCTTTCCGTGCCCGCAAGACCTCCTGCGCGGCTACCAAGAACCCGAGAAGGTTTGCGGGGTTGCAAGGTCCGCTTTCAGGATGTTGAAGGACCAGCGGCATCACCGCCGCACATTCGATTGCATCTAAGGCCCATCAGGATTCTGGTCGGCTGGGTCTAGTTCCTCTCCGAGTCTTCACGAGGGGTGGCCCTGGGACATGTCTTCCCGGCTACTACCATAGGTAGGTAGGTTTTTGGAACGACTGGCCCTGCGGCATGTCTTTCCGGCGACTGCCATAGGTAGGTCGGCTTTTGGAACGACTGTGGACCGGATTGACTTACCGTGAGGGCATGGGTGTGCAGCCTGTGGTTTGTATGTGCACGAGGGCATGCCTATTCATCGATCGTGGCAACATGAACAGTGATCCAACACAGCGCAGGTTCGGAGGAAAAAGGCTGGTGGGCCCAAAAAAAATATATTGAAAGAGAAATTGGGAAAAAAAAAAAAAAAGCAAATGAGAAACTGGGCTTGACAGGACTATTTACTCAGACCTCCTGCCTTGCTGGCAGGGCACTAATCTTAGAGAGAAACGAAACCCAAAAACAAAAGGTCGGATTTGGACGTAATATCCATCCGATACATTTTGGAAAGAAGTGGTGTGAATATGCCCTGAGTGAGGGCACTCCCAATAATGTAAAAAAGGGAAGAGAAAAAGAAAAAAATAATGGAAGATATGGCCATGATAGTGGTCAGATACAGTTTGGAAAGTACTAGTGTGAGTATGCCCTCGGTAAGGGCCTTTCCTGAGAACATGGAATACGCCCTGCCTTGTAGACAGGGCACTACAAGAAATAAGAAGGGGAAAAAAAAAAAGATTTGGCCATCGTAGCCTTTCCTGAGAACATGGAATACGCCCTGCCTTGTAGACAGGGCACTACAAGAAATAAGAAGGGAAAAAAAAAGAAGATTTGGCCATCGTAGTGGTCAGATACATTATGGACAATACTATTGTGAGTATGCCCTATGTCAGACGACTTCCCCCACATCGTTTTTCTGTTTCTTCCATGAAACTGCAACGACTTTTATTCATTTTATCTGAATTTAGTTGCTTAATGGTGTCATCTGCTAGCATGAGGTACAACACTTGAGTTTCATGGTAGGCTGGTACTAATACCCTGAGATTTTTCTTTTCAACCTATTACTGCAGCAGTCAGGAAAACCTTAAGACTTTGCAGTCGAAAACGTGCAACTTTTGATTCGTCAATTTAGCTTCGTATGAACAAGTGGTTTAACCCAAAACAAGTCGATGAGTAAAACCTTAAGACTTTGCAGGGTCCTGTAGAAAAACCGTAATTTTCTCCAGTTGGTTGGAAATTTTCCCAAAACCCTCAGACAAAAGTTGTTTGCATTGTATTTTTCTATAACATAGTTTAGGGGGGATTATTTTAAATTATTTCGGATTTTTTTTTTATTAAACAAAAACAAGACTCTAAAAAAAAAAAAAAAAAAAAAAAAAAAAAAAAAAAAAAAAAAAAAAAAAAAAAAACGTTTCTACCATAAAACAATATTTTTATTCCAATTTTTATTTTTTTCTTGAATTTGATTGTGAATTTTTACATAATCGTCAGATAAAAGTTGTTTGTATTATAATACTGTACAAAAAAATTCCCTTGTAATTTTTTATTTTTTTTTTTAATCAAATTTTTCGAGAATCCGACTACAACGTAAATAAGTTGTATTCAAATACAACAGATATATTCGACCGTACGTTCTATTCGAAAAAAATCATTGTTTTTTTTTAACTCATTTTTCAAACGTAAGTTGAATAGAACGTATGTATTTTTTTAAGGGTTAAAACAATAGTTCATCGTCTACGTTCAAAAGCAGGATTGAGAGAGAGAGACAGAGTAACCAGCAGGGATCAACACAAGGTGACATTGTCTAGCGCATCGGCTCCCGCCTTTCTTTCAAAAGGAGAGAGCCCTCCCGACCATATCACACAGGAGTAAAACACAACAAAAGAAGCCACAACAAAAGAAGCCACAACTTAGGGACAACGCAAAATAACCCCGCGAACCATCTAGGTGAGCGTGGTTGCATTGTCCCTTCGCCACTCTAGCCGGGTGTGTCAGTCCTACAACCCCGTGTCTCCTAAGACAGGATAGATTTTTGCGGGGCACATCTTACCTTCCCTAAGGGATTGTCACCACCCTTAGGGGTGTATCCCTACCGAAGTACTGATCCATGTGCGAAAGATTTAAGATGCAATCGCAAAGGTCGGTCAGTCGAGGACGTTTGCTCACTTCGCTACAGTATAGGGAACGTTTGGTTAAACGTCTTTTGTCCCTTTGGGCTTTGGCCTCCTAAGTACGAAGTGGGCGTCGATCGATTAGGACATTCTCAACCAAGTGTGAAACCCAAAAATTAATCCTAGTCCTTTAGACACACAGTCAAAAGAAAAGTGATAATAACCGCACTCCATTATATGAAAACGAATTGATCATAGTCGATAAACATGTATATACGATTCAATAAGTTGAAACGATAATTGAAACAACCTAATCACCACATGATAGAACTAATAACGCAAGATTGAAATAAAAACTCAGCCACCTGGGGTCGAACTCGATGAACAAAAAAAAATCATGGTGAGCTACCAACGAAAAATTGATTTCGACAAATAACCTCGATATGACCGATAAGGTATTATGACTGCCCCAGTTCTGACTTTATGAGTTGCGATGCCAAAGTTATTCACTCCACCCTACCGTCGACCTAAGATTGGGCACGCACATACCCGCCTCTATACATTTGAGTTTTATTTCATGACAGACTGCTTTGCAAACGATTAGTAATCAGGTGCATTACTTAAAAGTATTGCATTCTTCTCCCTCTACGAAGTGGTCCAAAGTACTCCTTCTCCTCGCTCGAGCACAAAACTCGGATCTTAGAAGTCGGGCCGTCTCCACTGAATCGACAAAATGCCTTTCGTAAAATGGTTCACTCCAGGTCGATAACATGGTCGACTTTTAAAGCAACAAACCCTCGCCTCAGATGGCTTTAAGAGAGAGAACATGTTCATCACAAGTAAATTTTAATTGTTTTTGTTTTTTCATAAGTCCAGGGCAACTTAGATGAAGAAAGTAAAAGCAGGTACAAAATGATAATCATTCAGACGGGTATAAACAGACAAGGTCATTCAGGATAGAACGGGTCAACCTCGGGAAAATACTAAGTTTGATTATCTTCATTTTCATTATATTGACGAGTTGTTTATAGGATACCCGTTGAAATCATTAATTTCAAAATACACAAGTTTTTAACATGCAAACTTGTAAAAAGCAGAAACAAAATATATATATATTTTATCTAAATTAGGTATTAACCACTTTCCTTTGCAAACATCTTTCTACCTACCTGCATGAAACACTGAAAAACAAGTTAAAAAAAAAACAGTACAATTTCATACTTTAGTCGGACTTTTTCATTCACATGCATAACTCTCACAAATTCGAAAAAGGTTCCCCGTTATGGGGTTCCTAATCCGTACGACGCCATAACAATCCCCATATGAAGTAATCTTAACGCTCACAATGACCCGAGAAATGCATTGGAGGTTACTCGCGCAACCGAAATACAAAGTATATTCATGTAGCTCATCCGGAAGTCGGTCCACATTGGTGCGAACATCCTCACGCTAGTTAGAAAAAAAAACTTGTCCATAATCGAGCAAGTCAATGAATCTCATTGATCGAGTCAGTGTGTTGTCTCGAACCAATAGAAGTCACTACGCTTGTTGCATCAACTCCAAGTAGCTCGTCTGGAAGTTGGATCACATTGGCACAAACATCCTCACGCGAGTTGAGAAAAAAAACTTGCCTATCATCAAGCAAGCCTATGAATTAAACCATACTTGCGGCGCATCCCATGTGCGCCACTCCCTCACATTTGGCGCACTGCGCATTACGCACGTGGCGCTCGCACCCGGTGCGCCTCATGGGCAAAATTCGGGGTCAACCAAAAAAAAAAAAAAGTTGGGGAGAGGGTGAATTGAAGTTCCCACGCCCAAATAAAATTCGGACATCGCCCGCACAATTTTTTTTCAGGGTCGCGCTGCCCCAAAACCTCAGTGTGTCATTATGTTTGTTGTACTCGATGCTATCTCCAGGGTATTCGAGTCCTTTCAGAGGTCCAATACAATCATTATGAGGATGCGTCTGTGGAACCGTTGCTTTCCTCTCATTACTTCCAGATATAGAAAACAACAGAACTGAGAGTTGTGTTTCGTTGGTGGCTTTGCTAAAAAAAAAGAAAAAAAAAAAAGAGAGAACGTCCGTGACATCGGGCCTCGCTCCACTACTCTCGAAATGCACAAAAGACAAAAATCATGGCGGTGTATCCATCCATGTTCTAGCGGAAGATTCACTCTCGTTTCGCACATTTCGAGAGTACTGGAGCGAGGCCCATCCTCGTGGGGCGTGGCTCCGTTTTTGGACAACGGATACTCTTGACAATGAGCCTCGCTTCCCGTTTTTGGACAACGGATACACCTGACAATGAGCCTCGCTCCACCACTCTCGAAATGTGCAAAACGAGAGTAAATCTTCCCCACGAACAAGGGAATATACATCGCCATGTTTTTTGTCTTTTATGCATTTCCGGCGGAATCCAGCGACGCACTAAAACCCTTCTAGACTCACTCCTGACAATGGGTCTCGCTCCACCACTCTTGAAATGTGCAAAACGAGAGTGAATCTTCCCCTAGAACAAGGAAATATACATCGCCATGTTTTATGTCTTTTGTGCATTTCCGGAGGAGTGCAGCAACGCC